CGGGCAGGGCAGCTAGCACGGGACCCAGGGGAGCCACGCCTGGGGGTGCCCGTGGCAGGGGGGCACAGCCCGGGCTGGGGGAGGCTGTGAAAGGAGAGGTCGCTGAGGGCTGGAGGACGGGCAGGACGGGCCCCTTCCAGGTCCCAGCTCCAAGTGCAGGGCGTTAGTGGCCGGAGGCCGGGCTGCGTTGAGCTTGGGGCTGTCTGCGCCGGAGAGTCAGTCGCACAGGACATGTGGGAAAGCGGAAGCTTGAACCACTGTCTGTTGAAATCCCAGCTCCTCGGGTGGCCCTAGCACCATGGGCTCCCAATCTCTCACTTGGGGCTACTGTAAGACACCTCCATTTCCCAGCCAGGGCAAGACTGCTCTGTAGTGGAACAAGAGAGCCAGCCTGCTGGGCCCCAAAGCCAGCCGCCTCCATGATCAGAGCCCATTCCCACTTGCCCCAGCTGCAGGCATGGAGTCTAACCCAGCTCCCCGTGAACCCCAGAGCCTTCCCAGGTGCCTCAGTAGCAGCTGGGTCAGAACCACCTGATTACTTCCTCAGGCGGGCACGAGGATCTCCAGCGCTGAGCCCCGTGTCTGCCTGCAGCACCAGCTCCCCTGGGAAGAGCCGCGCCCTTGCCTGGACGTTCCTCCTCCCGGCTCGCAGGCTCCTTTCACAGCCTTCCCCCACCCCCAGGCCGGAGCCTGGCTCTTGTCACGTCCCCAAGGCTGCTGGCCAGGGCCCAGCGTGCTGCCATCGCTGACGGCCCTCCAGTCAGCAGGGCCCTTCAGTCTCACTCTGCGGCAGGGCTTCACCCCTGGGGCTGGGCTTCAGTTCCACTGGTGCCAGAAGTCTCCCGGGCCTGACTAGCCAAAGAATCTCGGCACACGGGTAGCATTTTCCTCCCCCTGCTCAGGCTGCCCAACAACCAGGCCTGGACACGGCTGCTCGGTTTGCCGACGGCAGCAGTGCCGGAAATCCTCCGTGATCAAGAGCCACGTCCGTTCAAAAGGGAGCCTTGAGCTGCCTCCTCACTCATGCACCGGCAGGGACTGGGATCACAGGAAGCAGCAGAGGTCGTAGGGGACAGGACGGAGTGGCCGCTGGGAGAGCAGCCTTCGGCCACACGGGAGAACCAGCTGGGAAGAACTGGCAAAGCCACGGCAGAACTCCTGCACCTAGTCTCATTCCAAGGAGCAGCTTCCAAGCCATTTCCACGTGCCCCTCCCCGGCCAGATCCCAACACAAAATGCTGGCAGGACAAGCTGCTTCCAGCAATTGCTGCTGCTGCCCAGATGTTTGCACGTCCCCCAGCCAAGACTGGGAACAGGATTTCGCTGTGTCAGTCGCTCTCAGAGCATTTGTCAATGGCTCCTTCTCTCCCCGGGACCAGGGAGCAGCTTCCAAGCCATTTCCACGTGCCCCTCCCCGGCCAGATCCCAACACAAAATGCTGGCAGGACAAGCTGCTTCCAGCAATTGCTGCTGCTGCCCAGATGTTTGCACGTCCCCCAGCCAAGACTGGGAACAGGATTTCGCTGTGTCAGTCGCTCTCAGAGCATTTGTCAATGGCTCCTTCTCTCCCCGGGACCAGGGGAATGGAGCAGAGCTGTGGGGCGGCAGGGAAGCGGTTT